CCAGTGGTGAATATAGCTGAGCCCTTTTATAGGAGGCATGCTCTGGGCAACAATTCTTGCTTATATATTAGATGTCTCTTATAAACAGGGTACCACGTATGCATGTTCTTATCAAGCCGTACTGGTATTGGCACAGTGGTGTCTCTCATACCCATTTGTCTCTTATATCAGTGTCTCTTATCAAGGGGGTTCCATTGTTGCATCAGGAAGATCGTACCTCCCTTTATTGATATTCTGGTGTATAGGGAGTACTAAAGCTGCAGTGAATCTACAGTACATTTCTTCCAAACGTTTATATATTGTCACGTAAGAGTGAGGGTAGCCTCACACTTATGGTGGTATCGCCATGCGTAACATTATCCGCAATACGCTTCGCGACATTATGCTTCGTCAATGGCTAGATTCTAAAGTGTCTGCATGACTGCTGATACCTGGGCAGAAACACCCTCTCGTAGTAGTAGTAATAGACTTTTATTCAGCCACAATTTACAGGCCGAGCATTTCGACCGCCTGTGCGACCGGTCGACGCTGTTCCTCTTCCCCTTCGGCGCCGATCCAGTCGAGCCAGGAGGTGATGGAAAGGGATGGGGAAGGGAGCCTCTCGTAACCTATGAATGCTATATATAGGGGTTATGTGTGTGTGTTTGTATGCATCTGTGCGTGCATGAGTATATACAGGGCCGATTTTTCTAAGATTAGCAATTTAGTGGCATCTCAGCGCCATGCTGCAGTGAAGCTATCTTCACAGGCAAGTTTCTTATAGTAAAATACGCTAATAAGTTCGTTGCTATAACTTTGAAATTACTGAAACTAAATTTGCGTCAAGGTAGTGAACTCAGATACTGTAATATGAACGCATGCCAAGACGTACTTTACTTGCCCAAATACTTGAATTTGCCCAAATATCTGCCTCTTCAGCCACAATTTCAACCATTGCAAAACATTCACTATAATTCGAATACACTTTGAACAAGGAAAGTATTCCATGTTTATTAAAAATTTCATCCTTGTTTCATCCACTTTGTCACTGTTTGCATCTTTAGTGCTGAATCACATATACCAATTAGGTGAAAACAACAAAATGACTGAAAATTTTACCTAAGCACACCGAAAAACATGGATTGGAAGTAGACAGTAGGGGTATGAGTAATGTTAGTTTTTCGGTGCGCTTAAGGGCACTGGATGAGCCCTATATGTCCCATGCATTTTTTTTCTTTATTTTGAGCTACCGTTTTGTCAGTGACAACAAGAAATATTCATATCTATACATCATTTTCTTTCAAATTTTCTACTCTTTTAAATGAAGCCGACATAATATAATCTAGATAATGTAAGCATTTGTGAATTTTTCACTACCAAGATCTAACTTTTGAGTTATTTGGCATAGATGAAAATTTGTAACACAAATACTGTGAAGTGCATAACTTAAATTCTGCTTCGGTACCTGTATGCATTTATGCAGAATATAAGAAAAAATGATCAAATGGTTATCTTGGAATACATACGAAATAATGGTACTTAAGTAATAAATGACATGGTTTTGAGATGATGGAGTGTAAAGTTGGAAAATGGCTGGAAATCGGCTGAAATCGTCTGAATCATTGCCAAGGCCAACTTTTCACTTTGGAGCCTCTTGTAATGCTTGGCTTGCTTCTCTTGTGAGATGTCGCGCAGCTCTATCTGAAATGTATCATTCGAGTATACTCAACGTTTTCCAGCAAATTGATTGTAATTTGGCCAAGCTTCAATCCTTACTGTTCAAAATTTTGGCTTATGTCATACTGCCATCATTAAGTGCAAGAATAATATCCAATGTCTCAAATCTAAAGACTCGGACCCTAAACAAAGACAGCAAAGATGCAGCAACTAAATTCCCATAAACTCAACACTTATACCAGGCCGTTCTCTATTCGGTCTAATTGCATCACAAATAATAGTCATGTCTATCAGAGCATACCCATTGTCACCATGCACGTGATTCGCCTCAAAGGACACTGAAAAGGTTGAGAGGTTCAACAATGAAGAGCTTGCTGGTTCAGTGTTCAGCGCCTTAGTACATCACTGACATTTATTCACTTTAGCAAGAGAACAATACAGATTGCCGCAAAATTTACACTTACTGAAGACCTTCTTTACCCCCCGCATCTAAGCTTATCGACAAGCATGGCAAACAAAAGGCGTAATGAAGCTAGGAGCTGAAAGTGTTCGAGCCAATGTGTTCCGAAGATTAAGTGTGAATATAAAGGCACACAGCATCTTCGGACTGCTTTAGAAATTACCTGACAATTTTCTATACACAACTGACTCGGGACAAGCAATTCGATTTTCGTAGAAAGTCTTTTTTAGAAAAAAAGGCTGTAAGCATAAAGCGCATATGAGGAGCTTGCGCTAGGGTGCATTTTCACTCACTGCTTCCTTTCGAAAAAACTGGTTTTGAGCCATAAAAAAAAATGGCACCATATCCACGGAGTGAATGATGGAGAGTGGGGCGAAGCATCTGTCCATCCATTCGTTCTTGCTTCCATCCGTTCATGCGTGCGTCTGTGTGGCCGCCAGTGAGTCCGTCCGCCCATCCGTGTGTGTGTCCGCACGTCCATCTGTGCGTCCGTCCCTGCGTTCGTCCATGCATCCGCTCCTGCGTCTGTCCATGTGTCCATCTGTCCGTGCAGCCATCCGTGCGCCCGTCCATGCATCTGTCTGTGTGTCCGTTTGTCCACCTATTCAAAACTCCAAGTACCACCATCTCGCATCTTTTCATCATATATTCCTCATATAGAAGCACCGCCATCCAGCGGACATTCCAAGGACTGAACGAGAGGAGGCACACGCACACTTTTTTACGGCTTGCGCTTCATGTCTGCTTCCCACCTTAACCACCTCGAGTTCATGGTATACTAGTTCACTGTATTCATGGCACTGCGGCCCAACTCTCGCTAAATCTTTCTAAAAAAATTCCGCCATATCCACGAAGTGAATGATGATGAGTGGGCGAAGCTCCGGAGGTAAACCTGGTAAACCATGAATCCTCTGTACATTTTGCCCACTCGATTTTATTACATCGCTCCCCCTAGCGTACGTCGCCACACTAAATCGAACCGATTGCCTTCAACCAATGACACGCGCCATATGTGACATCATTCCTATTTTATAAGATCTCGCGTCTTTCATCAACTACAAGTACCGCTTTCTAGTTTATAACATCTTGCATCTTTTCATCATCAGCTACAAGTACCACCATCTAGTAAACACTACAAGAACTAAACGAGAGGTGGCTACATACAGGAGACGGTACCGCCATCTAGTGAACACTGCAAGAACTAAACTAGAGGTGGCTACATACAGGGGACAATACCGCCATTAGTGAACACTGCAAGAACTAAACTAGAGGTGGCTACATACAGGCTACAGGGGACGCACAGCCCACGCCCTAAGGAGCTTCGCCCTAAAACAAGCAGGTTACGCCCAGCGAGTATAACGTAGCAACCCTTTCTTGTCAGATAGTGATCAATGTACATGCCAATGGCTGCTAAGGGGGAATGAGAGACAGGAGAATTCGGCTTTTAGTTAATGCGCACGCTGCGAATTTTTTATTGTTCAACAACGCAGAGAAGAAATCTCCCACCGGCACAACCTTGGAGGTCAAAATGTAAGACTGGTTACACGCTACGACTACTACTACGACTACGAGGGACGATCGGGTGCCACTATAAGAAGCTTCGCCCCTAAAAATGCTGTTTAAAAAAGCCCGAATGCGTAAAATATGCACAAAGCAACACTCTTCCCAAATTGCAAGAAAAGAGAAGGTTTTTTTTTTCATCAAATTTTCCCTACCCTGTGCCCTTTACCAAAATTTTCAAACATACATTGGTTGTAACGGCTGTCCGAATCTGTGGCAGAAAATGGTGTGCAAGAAAAAGGAGGAAGATGAGTATTGTTAGTAAACCCAATGCAAGCCGACACGGGAACATGCTCTGCATTCTTGATGGATTATAAAAAATTTTTTACCCCCTAGCATAAGACGAGTGCTCAATCTAAACCAACTGTCCGTGGTAATATTTTTTGGTGTGTTGTCCTCATGAGAACAAATTAATGGTGTAAAATCTTTTTGGAATTTTATGACCATACTGGCAAAGTGTTTCAAGCCCTAAACTTGTACAAATTCTATTGCTGTAAGCAAACAGACACCTCCAGTAAAACCAGATCCTCACAATAGTGCCAGCAATAGTCATTTAATTAATTAAGAGGCTTGCAATCTGTTACTATCAACACCTCTAGTAACATCACCTTGGTCACTTGCTTACGGTGATCTCCTGTAAACAGGGCACCACAAAGTTAAATCCAAAAATTTACGATAGGAGAGGCTGAATAGAATAACATAAGTGTCAACGCGATAATTCTGAGGAGCTCATTTCACAGCAATTCTAGGCTCGACGTCATTGATTGTAAGTGAAAAATCATCATCTTCATGTGACTGAAAAATTAAGCATTTTTGCGTGACCGAAAAGTCAAGAAAGATGGAAATAAAATTCTGGGTCTAAATGGAAATCAAACCCGGGTTATTTGCGTGGCTAGCGGGTGTTCTACCACATGGCCACGCCTCTGCTTTTGAATACAGTGAAAATAACTTCCTCTGCTTGGAAATACAGTGGAAGTAACTTTCATGCTTTATAAACATATGCATACTGAATACATGCTTCAAAATACAACATGAGATATTGCAGTAATACGCGTGGTACAAGCGCAGATGACCATCGCGCATCAGAACATGGTATTATCATAATGACTTCATAGTTTAAAGCAGTCACCCACTACAAAAGGGCACACATACTACTGCACCCTCAAGGCCACGTAGTGAGTGCATAGCAAGTTTGAAAAGATTTCGTACTAGAAGTGTTTGAAGTACGCACTTGGAACAGATATCACTATCATGTTAAACTTTTATTGGCGAAGCTTAAGGGTCACCCAATTTTGTTAACCTCAGTAACGAACACCCAACTTACTTTCAGTGTTGAGAGCCAGAAGAGAATTGCTTCACGAAATTCTTTTTCGGTTTCCCCTAGCTTGACCGGCCAGACATTTCTGCACAGTTGTGTACAGAAAAAAGAAAAGACATTTTTATTCAGACCTTAGCATAAACACACACTGTTGGAAACAAAAGTCTAGGCTGGCTTAGATTCAACAATGTTGTACAAGGAGTCATGTGAATAGGGCTGAAAGCTTCTACAAGCTATACCTATTAATTACGTGAACCTTAATTATCATTTAAAGCCAATACCACGTCATGTCATGAGCTGGCAGACAAAAAAAATGATATTAGCTATTTCACTTGAATTGCCACATAGGTATGTACAGATAACTATTTTCCCACTTTGGTGTTTCTGGTAAACCACACCACAAACGTCTCAGAAGAATTTAAAAGTACTCTACGAGAAAGCTCAAATATTGAAGTCGACACAGTAGAGCCTCGTTGGCACATTGCCGCTTAATAAAGATTTCCCGGCTCTAACACTGATGATCACAAAAACTAAATTAAGCCAATTCGGATTGTACGTTTTCCTGGATCGTACGTTTGTTTCCCGTGTATTTTTTTAAGTATCAGCGAGGTTCTATTGTATATACCAAGCTTTGTTATCCTTAATTTGTCTGCTGTACTAATGCCTGAAATAGATATTTTGCACTAGTTAACATGCTTGCAATTTTTTCCCCCGAAGTCCTGAGAATGTAAAGGGAAATAAACACGGTTGAAACTCAATGTAACAAACTACGACTGGGCTCGAATTATTTTGTTTTAAATCAGAAAGTTTGTAAAATTGACAACAGAATTGTTTGAATTTTTCAATATTTCAAATTTTAATTTACTGATACCCAGAAGCTACTACAGCATTGTAGCCGCCAACCCACACCTGCACCACTAGAGCAGTGTGAGTGCGTCTAAGAACATGGTGCCCCCTTATGTCCGGTCTACGCAGGCTGATAGATGATCACGTGAAGGTATGATAGACTACGGATATGCAAAGACGCAAAGAACAAATGCAGGGAGTCTGTGTACAGACCGAGTAAGAAAGAAGCGAAGAGTTAATCAGTGCTATATTTGACATAAACCATGAAATAACGGGGTGGGAAAAAAACACTCTCCTAGCAACATCCAGAAGTGTAAGAGTGCTACGGACTTCAGGGTCTGCTTTGTTGCTGCGTGATCATCACTAAATTAAAGGGACACATAAAGACAACTATTAAATTGATGTGGATTGCTGAAATAGCCATCCAGAAACCTCGTAGTGCTACTTTTGTGACAAAGAACTGCTTATTTTGAAGTGAAACGATGTTTTAGTGGTCTGCAACGCCTTCGCACACTTGAATTACCCGCCTCAAAATGGAAACTTTCATACCACTGTTGCCATGTGCAACACTGCCCGACTTTACTGCGCGGCCGCCGACGCTAGCAGTAGCCGAGCGAAAGTAGCGGGAGCCACAGCAGCAACAACAGCCATTGAACAATTTCCTGCCATGGCCTCCGAGATGGCAGGCATGCTTGGTTCAACTGGGCCCCGCTAGATGGCACGACCTGTCCACTTTAACCAGGCGAAAATTGAACTTTGGAACTACTCGCGCCATTCCCCATAGTAACGTCCGGCGCTTCTTTTTTCTATGAACCAGACAAGAACAAATAAGCAGCATTTTATTGCATCGCTTAATGCACGGAAGCTTCATTGTTTAGTACAGTTGGTTACATTATTAGTGATTAACTGTAGATGGTAACTCTGACATCATCAGGACCGCTTTGCAAATGTCCTACTCATGCCGCATGTGTTCTCGTGCATTTTTAACTTATTTCTCTATAAGTAGGGCACTGCTGTTGATAGTATTGTTGTTTTGAACGTCCTCATACATTGTGCTTTCTCTCGGACATAAAGTGTTATTTGCCTTTAGGGTCCCTTTAAAGCTATGACCGTGACTAGGGTGCCTCGATGTTTTCACACGATAGGTTTAGAAGTAATGTTTCATGAAAATTTCTTTAAATCCCGTTAGGTGGCTTAGTTCATTAATTCAGGAAGATAAAAACACTGAGCCCTGTGGGCATTAGCTGGATATTAGAAATTTTATTTGTTAGACCGGAAATTTTTTAAAATCTGGTTTCATTACATCAAGCTTGAACTGTACTGGTAACCCCCATTTCACTTGCTTTTTGATTGGAATAAATATTGTAACCAAGATGCAAACAGTTGCTTCGTGCTTCGTGAGGTGCACTTAATTTTGAAAATATGAAAATGGGGGGAAAGGGGTTTTTGTGGTAAAGAATTATACATTTTTCTAAGCAAACAAAATCACTCTTCCCCAAGCTAACTAGCAAATTCTTTGGGGTCTAAAGCTGGCAGCTGGAATAAAATTTGTCAAAATAGAGCATGGTTACCAAAATTTTGTGTCCATTCTGATGTGGGCAAACCCACCTAGCTTTTGTGATAGGAGGCAAATAATGTCTGATTGTGCAAACCAAACAAGCAGCTGCACAAGATAACTATTACACTATATGCTCATCTTACAATTTCAACTAAAGTCATGCATCTCATAATACAAAGGAAGAACTGATGCCAAATGTGTGAGGAACAAAGTTCTGTGTTCAGTCACTTACAACATTTGTACCCCGCACATATAATATGTGAAGCTGTAAGGCGAGAAAATGCAACTAATTGCATTTTAAATATGTTTTTAATGTAGGCTTGCAACAGCAGGTTTATTGAATATGTGGAGAAAGAAACCTCAATACACCTAAGGAAAACATGCATTGCAGAGAAAAACATTCTAATTACTAAATGAACATTTTTCTTATCAATCACTATTATTTATATTATTACTTAGTCTTTACATTTCAGTGCATGAGCATAATTTGAAGCAGATATTATAACTTTGGTCATATGGTCACTTGCTGAAGTTAACTTGAAAACTACAAGAAAAAGAGAATAAATTGACAGAAAGGCTTGGAGGTCAACCAGAATTGTAGCATCCAGTTTGCTACCCTGCACTAAGGAGACGGGATGGGAGAGTAAAGAAAAACATTTTACTTCAACTTTTTCTGTGCTTCCTTCTTGTCATAGGCATTGAAGAGACTGTAAAGTACGTCCCGGACAGTGGCAGAAGTATTCTTGCCCAAGAAGTCATCCCTGGTTAAAAAAGAATAAATAATAAAAATAACAATGTGTAGTTCACATTGCTGCGCAATTCAGTTTTCTTGAAAAGTGAAGCAGCCAGCAATTACATTAAGAGTGCCCTCATGTCATTTGCACATATAAAGTGCAGCAACACTTCAGGCAATGCAGCTTAGCAGTAATTTAATTTCAGGATCAGTGTCAAGTAATTATGAACTTATACTGTCATTTCATCTATGTCAAGAATACTACATTATACAAGAAACAAGCCAAAAAAGACAAGAAAGGAATCATGCAATGAAAGATGCCATTTGCAGATGCCAGTTTTAGTTTCTTCCCTTTTGTGCACAGCTTCAGATTTTTTGTAACAATACTGATTGTAGGCCTAGTTGGTACTTGCTTAATGACACGATTTGGCTACAAATAACACACACACACAAAGTAAAGAAAGACTCAACAACAAGCACAAGCGGCACTTCCAACTAAAACCTTTTTAGCTGACAAGCCTGTAATCTGATGTTGCAAGACACATATAGATCTTTATTCAGAGAAGTTGAAAACTCATAAATCAAGCTCGAACCACATTGAATCGAGAAATGCTCTGCTTTGTCATCTGTGTTAAGGCAGAACCCTTTAATGGCTTATACTCGCCGTGTGTGATTGTCCGAGGCCTGGAACAGTACCAGCTGTGGCCTCCCCCTCACATTCTTTCAGCAATCAGGTGATGGCACTAGCAGTGCATGCCAGCAATACTCCTGTCAGATGTCGCTGTTGCAGCAGTCGCGTTAGTCGAATGTCTCACAATCAGCCCACTAATGACTCCATGGCAGCAGTTCAGATGAAGTACCCCAACAATGTGCGGGCCCAATACGAAACACCAGAAGTTGAAAACTCATAAATCAAGCTCGAACCACATTGAATCGAGAAATGCTCTGCTTTGTCATCTGTGTAAGGCAGAACCTTAATGGCTTATATTCGCCATGTGTGATTGTCCGAGGCCTGGAACAGTACCAGCTGTGGCCTCCCCCTCACATTCTTTCAGCAATAAGGTGATGGCACAGCAGTGCATGCAGCAATACTCTGTCAGATGTCGCGTTGTCAGCAGTCGAGTTAGTCGAATGTCTCACAAGCAGTCCCACTAATGACTCACGGCAGCAGTTCAGAGAAGTACCCCAACAATGTGTGGTCCCCCAATACCAAACACCAGAAGAAGGTGGGGGAAGCCAAAAATACATGGCAGAGTCAGTAGAATGGCCACACCATAAGCAACTGGAATTTACATGGAATTTACAAAGTGTTCTTCAAAAATTTTTTTTCAATGTATATTTAAACTACCTACTTCAAAGCACAAGATAGTGCAAAATAGTAGTCTCTTTAAATAAAATAAAACATTAGTAGGAGAAGGCGAAGTCAATCATGCTTCCTGATATAGTGAAATAATATCTGGAGTTTGACATCCAAAACCACGATATGATTATGAGCGATGCAGTAATGGAGGGTTCTGAAACTTTCGATTATTTTGTGTTTTTTAAAAAGGCCCTGAAACACTTTTTTAATTAACCTTGAAATAGATTGACTGAAAGAGCTTATTTCCTCACAAATTCAATGCCACAAAAAGTTTTAGAATCCGTCCAGTACTAGCGGAGTTACAAAGATTTGTCCCACGCTGAATCACATTTTCTTCTCTCGTCCCAAAAAAAGCACTGGAATTTTAAGCAGGGAGAGAATGGCAGGAGCAAAGAAAATAGGTCACATGCGCCTCGTGACCTTGAGCACTTTTTTTTTACTTCAAATAGAGGGCTTCTTCAATGTGATCGCTCGCGCACTCGCTTGGACAAGTCTTGCTCCTACGGCAATCCCTGCAACGACCGAGCGCACCATGTTTGAATCAGCCAATGGCGATAGAAGGCCTTCTATGATTGATTTTCGAGCGTGGTCTGTCATTAGTTGATAGAAGAGAAAGCAATTTTAGGTGACTTTGACAATTTATTGAGAATACCAGGCTGCGTGCTGCGCTAAAATAATATTTTGACTCGCGTTGTTCTTGGGAGCCTCTACTACCAATTGGCAGTGCTTTCTCAGCATGCTAAAAAAGTGGAGCATAGTGGACTGTGCTCCATATAAGCTACAGTGTTTCTAGCATATGGAAAAAATGGTTGCATATTGCAGTTCATGCAACAATATGCAGCTCAGGAAATGGCAAATCTTAGTTCTAAACACGCAAGATACATGTACACATTTTTCATAACTATATAATCAAATAAAGCTAGTTCCCAATAAAAACACTGCGACAAAGTACATGGTAGTTTTATTACCAACATAATAAATACACTGAAACATTCAAATAAAGAAAGTCGACAGTTTCCCATGATCAATATCATAGCGAGTTTCAGGTTATTAGAAATGAGGGGCTTACTCTTCATATCTCTCACCACGTGACGAAGGTATGTGCAGTAGGTCTAGGTTTTCAAGCAACAGCACAGTCTGTAATAGAATAACTGTTTTAGTAAATGCTCCTCAAAGGGATTCAATGTCACAACAAATCAACCAGAGTTTGTGTATTGCAGTAACTTTGTAACATGCAGCAAATAATAATGAATAATTGCTTGGTGTTTACATCTCATAAACACACTATGATTAGGGAGACACCGTAATGGAGGGCTTAAGAAATTCAGACCCATGGGGGGTTCTATAACAGACACTTGGAAGTAGGCACATCGGCCTCTAGCAAACTGCCTGGCCAAGATTCTACTAAGCAAAGAAAATTAAGAAGTACATTTTCCGGTTTCATAAGGAGCGAAGCTTAAAACGACCTGCATAGAAGAAATTGTGACTAAAAAATAGCACCACCCACCCACTGACCTACACAACTCAGCTGGCTAGCCACCTTAATGTTCGTGCTCTCCTTGTCTCCTTAGCTTAGTAGACACACCAAATGGCATACTGTAATATCTCGAGAATGTGCCCCTACCCGAGCAGATGCTTCCTACCGCTTTTTAGAAAATTTGAAATATGCGCCGATGACCAACCAAGTGCCGCTTCCTCTCCCGCCATTTCCTCAACTTGTTCTCTACTACAGCATCCTGCAGCAGTGGTTTTAGCCCCGCCGTGGTGGTCTTGTGGTGGAGGTACTCGGCTGCTGAGCCGCAGGTCGTTAGATCGAATCCCGGCTGCGGCGGCTGCACTTTCGATGGAGGCAAAAATGCTGTAGGCCTGTGTGCTCAGATTTGGGTGCATGTTAAGAACCCCAGAGGATAGAAATTTTCAAAGCTCTCCACTACGGCGTTGAACCCCCCATATCAATCAATCAATCAATCATCATCAGTGGTTTTAGGCAACCCAAGCTCTGAGTGCCTTTAGATAAGTGCTACAATTTCTTAGAACTGTTACAGTATTTTGCCTCGGGGTGGCATTCTAAGTTTTCACAAATTGTTGGGAAGTTTGAAGAACGTCTTCCCTTTTAACATAACCGCTGAAATTTTAAAAGAGGACTCCCTTTGCTTGAGTAAAAACAATAAATGCATGCATATTCAATAAAGCATTTCATTAGAAGCCCAGGTACGCATTCTTTTTAGAGGCTCTTCAGCCACTATCTTGAATATTGGTCCGCAACCGAGCAAGGGCCCCCTCCTCCAAATTTCACCATAAGGGGAGCGCTTGCTCGAAATTTTACAGTAATAGGACGTGAATGCATGACGAACAGGATTCACAGGTTATGACATAAACTGTGACACTTGCCTGCCATGTATGTCATGAAATACTTTCCACCAGCTACATGCGACACGTCCTTGTATACCGCGGCCTATGATGTGCAGGTATGTGCGTCATAAGTGATTCTCAGCCTATATTAACCAGGGCCGGGCAGTATCGTGATACAAGTATATTGCAATAGAATTTCAGAGATACTTTTGAGTATCTGTATTGCTGTATCGAGATACTTTTCAAAAATGTATTTGTATCTCAGTAGTGAAATATTTTTACGATGTATCGCCCATATCGCAATACTATCCAGGACACGGGTATCTCGTTACTTTTTTTCGGAAATGAGCTGAGACGAGTTTACAATGGGAAAAAAATTTCTTTCTGCTGTGACCTTGGCAGTCTGCGGCGAGATATGAACAAACCATTTCTGCTGAGGGCGAAACTAACTCCTACGTTCTTGAAAGCGAGCTAGTCGTTTTGCTACCCCGCATCCCATTGCGCATCTTCAGGCAGAACTGTAATGTGTTCTAATGATCGCCTGCTAGAGCTTATCAACAATGTTATAGTGCCATTTTAAATTCTAGCAGTGATGTTTTCATTGTGACGACCATTGTATACTGCAAAATGGGCACCAACCAACAGCGTTGTTTTTAAAACGTCTTCTCCGAGGCCAACTGAACGAGCAGCTCTTTTTTTTCTTTTTTTTTTTTGCGGAGCTCATTTGGAAAACCGGAGCTTATTGCGGAGGCCACAAACTACCCAAAGACTTTGGTGTATGGTGTCGTGTGATAGCAACGATACCTCTTTCTCCAAAGCATTTCTGGAAGACACCAGCGTGGCCACATGGCGATTGAAAGGAGGTTTTTCTTGCGTTTCCTTTCACATTCTTTTTTTGTTTGTGCTTCTTTCTGCTTTTTCTGTTGCTAGAAACCAATAACCTTTAATGAAAGTAAGCACTCACCTTTATTGTTTATGTGTTTCTTTCCCCAATTTGCGCTAGGCCATTTTAGCAAAACTGGAAACCATCTAGCTTGAACCACTAGCCTACTAAGTAGAAGGTCGTTGAAGTAAGCGCCGTCATTACAGAGGCAGCAAGGAATTCAGGAGCCTTACTTTCTTTTTTTTTTTTTTTTTTAGTCAGTGACATGCTGACCGCTATGAATAAAAGCATACTTTTCTCAATTCGTTGGTTTCTGGTTCCAGTGCTTCGCTAGAGCTATGCTACTTCTAGCATAGCAAATACTGTTGCCGCCAAGTATTCCGATTTCGGTGTACAATAAATGTGACTCTTGCTCTCATAAAGCACAGTTTTTTATTGAAACTGATATCTGTAAATATGCCGATATTAGCAATTATGTGCAGTGTAAGCCTCGTTTGTAATGACTTAATGGCACTAAGAGTATGGTGATAAAATAATGAATAAATTTAATTGCAGGTTTCAATGCACTGCACATTTTCAATATTATGCTGCACATAACAAATGTCTGTATGGAGTATGACTATCCCCGCCATAGAGAAAAGTTTTTCAGTATCTGTGTTGCTGTATCTGTATTTCGGAATACTTTTATCACCTTTTTGCAAAAGTATCTCTGAATTATCCCATTGCGTCAATTACAAATGTATCTCATTATCTGTATTTTAGGCTCCCAAACCGTGTATTTCGATATCTGTATTCTAGAATACTTTTCGGGGCATCTGTCCTCAGCCCTGATATTAACACGAACTTTAGACATCTTAGCCTGACAGTGCAAGGAAGTCCTATCACAGAAAATGCAATGCTGGTGTCAGTGGTGTTGTCAACAGGTTAAATATCCCAACAGAAACAACACAAAAAGTTCATGGTGGTAGCTGAAATGGAACCCAGGTATTCTGCATGGCTGTCAGGTATTCTACCAAAGAGCCACACAGGTAACTCCAAACTTTCGGAAAAAGTCCGTAAAGAAAGATATCGTGTCAGGACAATGCCAATTGGGGTGGCCATGTCAGCTATCTGCTTTTATATCAATGTCATTATCTATGAATCTTCAAGCTACGGTCAACAGTACCACACATATATGTATAATCTATAGATAATATGGACATCATGGCCATGTAGCATATACTTAACGAAAATGATACTACCATCTCTGCTCTCAAGTGGGTGCTGATGCTACGTCATACCATGAGCTATCCTTAACAGGCCAGTGTACACGGCAGGCATAATAACCACACAATAAATTTCCATTCAGTTGAATGAAAAAAACTATTCATGATGCTAAAGCGACAAAGGAAACAACGGTGCAATATGCTACTTATATGAACTGATGGGAGATATTTGTATCGGAAGAATAATTAAAAATCTAGTCTCTTGCTTCAAAAAAGGCAAATGGATCCGATGAAATACAGACTCCTTTCTTCCAAAGTTACACGGCCTGGATGTCTTGCTACTTCCAAAATTATTTTTCAAAAATGCCTTTGAACTAGTTCTGTACTGTACAAAAGGTGCACAGCTGTCATAATCCAAGTGTTTAGAAGTGATGATTGGTTGTGTACCAACAATTACAACAACAGACAAGGGCAATCTTAACATGAGGTTGCTAAAAAAGCTGATATCAGCAGCATTGACCTGTCGACCCAATGAATATGAAGAATAAATGTCAAGGTCCCCAGCAGGAATCAAACCCAAGCATTCTGCGTGGCAATGAAGTATCCCACCATAGAGCCACGTCAGGTTTCAGAACTACCTACTTTTCAGATAGACCCTAATGTTCGTGAAACGTCAATTGTGATTGCAGTGCTGGCTATACAATTTTATAAACATTACATATGTACTCCTATGATACAGCCATCGCATCGGGTCGATATCAATTATAGTTAGGCGCCATTCGCTGAAGTTGACTTTTGTAGCAGTGTCCATAGCTACCATCCTCGCGAGCACCAATACTTCATATCAGCTTACAGCTTCTGCTGTTATCATCCATGTTGGTGTTGACATCATTAAGACTTGTAAACAACTGGTTATATGAAATATACGCAACTGTTCAACATATGCTCTGCATGCATTTGTAAATATCTTTAACCAGACTTCATAAAGTTTTGCTCAACAAAAGGTCACGACACAGTCACCTTCCATCTTCATGCTATGACGCATAAGAGCGATTCCCAAGGTACATGTACTCTGCCAAATTTTTCAATAAATAGAAGGCAATTTTCCCATAAAAAAAGAACTACTACTTACGAGCACTTGAAAAATGAAGCTTGAAGGTAGTATAGACAAGTGTTCAAGTTTCACTTTGTTCAAACGAAGAGTTACAGGCATTCTTTATTCCTGATGTAATTGAGGCATCGAATGGGTTGCCAAATGATGTAGTAAATACAGATTATGTCACGGGTGTCGGCAGGGGGGGGGGGGTACAAAAGGGGCAGTTGCCCCCCTCAAACTTCACCAACCTACATCAATGCTTTCTTTTTCCCTAGCCGCAATGCCACATCCATTTCCACCCCCCAAGAAAAAATCCTGCTGACCACCATGGATTATTTTAATACATTTATGAACTCACCTGATATATCTTTTGCAATTTATCATAATTACTGAACTGAACTTAAGTTCTTGTTAGACTGAAATGTGCATTGTTTGGTTGTAACATAGTTTTTATATGTTTGTAAAAGGGTGTGTTTAAAATACAAATGCAAAATGTAGAAATGTAAAGTCCACTTTCCTGTAATAGCCCCCAAAACAAATTCAACAATATTTATAAATAAATGACCAGCACTGTCACTTATGCTTCATTAGGGCCCCTGTC